GTAAACTAATAATTATAATTTCAGTATATAATATTATAATTAGTTAGGTTGTAATAATTTTGGATTATAGTTAGTTTGGTTGTAATAATTTGGGTTTTTTTAGCAGATTAGGGTTTTTCACCAAAACGAGATTTTAATGGCCATTCTTTCATTGATTTAGTCTACTCTTTATTATAGTCCATGTACAATTATATATTTTATCCATGATAATGCTATGATTTTTTTTTTATGTGATGCAAATTTAATACTTAAGTTTATACAAGGAAAGAGCATCTCAATATTCACAAATTGATGAAAAAAATGAAAGTTAATAATGTAGTGCCTTCATTTCTTATTGGATTCCTAAAAACAACATTTATAATGAATTTTAATAATTTTTTTAAATTTTTTTGAAGCTTTAATCCAACCGATTCAGCCAATTCCTTATCCGGATCGGTTTTTGAGGTGCCCGATTCGGGTCACCGATCCGCTTTTTAAACCATTGGTTTTAACAAATGGATCAGTGGGTGGATTGTCTACCCACAGACTCTGATCCAGATCATCAATATCAGCCAAATCAATAATACAGCCAAAAAAAAAAAAAGGAGGCGTGTACCCTCCCATTGCAACCTTTTTTTAGTAAGCTTAAAAAACAATAATAATAATAACAAAATAGTTTCGAAGTGTCGTTCTAAACAAATTCAAGATATAAAAGTTTTTTCTGAAAAGCACGTGAGGTTGTCCCTCAAAAAACTTCATATGCTAGCAGTTTAGGAGCTTAGAAGAAATAGGCAAGATGAATATGGAGACAGAGAGCATTGGAATCAACTTAATAGAATGGAAAATGCATAGTTATAACAAGGAATTCTGAATAGATCCTTGCATATATGGTGCCAAATATAGGTGCTAAATATATCCATGAAAAACTAACTGCAGAAAATGAGCTCGTATATTATGAAAATGGCACGTCTGAACAAGACAAAATCTATTGAAATACCTCAAAAGGCAGCAGATTAAAGGCCAATATGCAACGGCGAATGAACAAGCCCAAGTTGCTATTTGGATCCAATAGGATCTGATTATCTTCACTCTGTCCTGTTTCAGCATTCCCAAGAACAAGTGAAGTAAAGGAAAAGAACAATAATAAAATTCTCGCTAGTATTAGTAAAAATCCATGAACCCAAAGTGCTGAATAAACCAAATTCTCACCTCGCAAACTGATGAAAAAATTATGGAGATCATCAGGATAAGTTAGTGAAGAGAGACGACTCGTTAATTGCTCAAGAAAATACTCATTTAGTTCATCTGCAGTGGCTTTGAGTTGTGAGATAAGTTCTTCCAATGGTGGCTCCAAAAAGTTATCACAAGCCTACAAGAAGCAACGCGAACATCAATTGAAAGTCCAAAAGAGGTTGTCAGTTCAATTTTATCTTTTAGAACAAGCAGAAGATCCAATACCTCATATATGCCCTTAACAAAGGATAGAATCAAGTCAGAAGAAATAAGCATAGCAAAACATGCAATCACTGTTATTAGGTTGTTAATCTATACGAAAAATGTCTCTTTTCTAAAGTTTAGCTAATTAACTAACTAGCAGTACTGTCATGGATTACCTATTTGTGATGCATGCATTATGCCACCAGTTTAAGGAGAGTTCATAATTGTTCAGCATACATATACATGGAATCATGATTTGATTGCACATTCTGATTATTAAAATCAAACCTGTATGCCGTACCATTAACATAATGATGCCCATTTGAACTGATCAATGTTTTTAAAGTCGGCTCGGGCCTCGGATTCGGCCCCTGGCTCAAGCTAAGTAACTTGGCCGATTCCGATGGACTGGGTCGAGTAGTGCCCATGGCCCAAAAGGCCCTAACAAAGAAATTAGAAAACAAAAATAAAATTTGTAAAAGTGAAACAAAACCAAAGACAAAATAAAAAGTCCAATAAAGCTATATATATATATATAGACACACGCACACGCACATGCACACGCACACGCACACGCACACGCACATGCACACGCACAAGCGCGCACACACACACAAACACACACATAGAAAACAGTGAGTTTTGTATAAGGCGCCCTCCTTATTCCATAGAAGTAAGGCACACCTTTAAAATTTGCTTGGAGATGTAATTCTAGTATTGGAAATCTTATGATGACTTGAAAATCAATTTTCATCCTTAGTTATGGGATTTAAAATTTCAATAATGGTACACATCGAACATATCTATAAACACTTTAAAATCTTGAAAATAAACGGTCTAGATAACTTATTACAAGACGCAAAATTTTTAGGACTTAAATTTTATTTTATTTTCTTCATATCGATACATCTCATGGTCGAGATCATCAATTGGAGAGTTCTCCAACGCTGGGACACTCTCTTCTAGAGGATTTTTTAGGTGCACCTTACTTCAACAGTATAAGGTTGCAACCTTATATAAACTATTTCATAAATAAAAAATGGATTTAGAAAAAACTGATTCATAGATGTAGACATTTCATAACAATAAAAAAAATAGGAAAATTTATGACAAGAAAAACTCAAAAGTCATTGTAAAAATACAGGTGGCAACATTTCAGGTCCGGGTCAACCGCAGCCCAGACGCAACCTCGACCTGAGTATAGTAATTAAAAATAAAAATAAATATTTTATTTTGTACATTATATGTTATATATATTTTATACTGGGTCGGGCCAGAGCTAGACCCAACCGGACACGACTCGATAGGGTCCAAGTCGAAGTCGGTCCCACTCCTGGACCCGACCCAGGTTGGGTCTAAGCCATTTGGACCCAATCCGACCCACCGGGTCCAACACATGGACTCATAGCCATACCCGATTTGCGTCAACCACCAACCCGTCTGCCACCCAGTGTAAAAAGTCCATCTCGGCTTGGCAAGGAGCCAAATCTAAGCAACTCACCGAGTAACTTGGCCAACCATTATGACTACAAGTTTATTCTTACCACCTAGCTCAACATGTAATCTTAATAGTAGCATGACTGTGAAAAGTCGTTTCATGTCTACCGTAAACCATACTACGAAAAAGTGGTTCTAAACATAATAACTAATCACAAATATTGTGACATGCAAGTTTTATTTCTTTGATGATTTGCAGTGGAAAACAACCATTTCTCAAAAGAGCAAACAGTTTTCGAATTCCAAATCCACAGTTGCCTTGAACTAATTGGTCCAAGACAATGCATGAGGTCTATAGAAAGCAAAAATTTATGGGAAAGAGTATAGTTCCTAAGCAATTCACAGTTACGCTTAATTGCATTTGCACCTTTGTCAATGAGAACAAGAAAACACCAAACCGATTGTGTTGGGGGATCGTCAAGAATGGAAAAGGAACTGGACCGGAAGCTGGCGAGGAATACAACTGTATCAGGATGCACACTGAGACCTTATGAGGCGTGAGATTAAAAGCGGCCATGGATTTAGGGTTTCCAGCCATCGATCACAGAACTGAATAAGTGATTGGTCAATAATTCCCCAGAATTTCCACCGTGGTTTCTATTTTCCCTTCGTTTAAGATAATAGATGGAAAATGGCACCAACTTCTAAGATAAAATCCCTATTACCAGCCTGGTGTAAACTGGTCTTGACTCGCTCAAATAAGTCTCGACTCCTCAAATAATTAGAGCTAGAGAAAAGCAACAATAATCTTACTGAACAACCCTTAAACAGCCATTATCCATATGCCTTTCGTTCATGCTAAAATTAGGGTTTGGAAAGAGCAGTTCACTCTTGCCACTGAGAACCCCTAGAATCACCATTACCAGCGCAATGTAGTGATGATTTGGTTCATTCGACAGATTAGGTTTGAAGCATAGCACTTGGGTCTCTCAGGAAAACCCTAAACCACCATTATTTTGGTATGTTAAGGTTTACTTTCCAGCATTTTTAGATTTAGGGCTTGGGGCTCCTCTTTGCTATCTGCACTGCCATGTTTTGAAAGAAAAAATGCGGCCTGGCACAGTGGTACGCGCGCCTCTTCTTTTGCCATTTTTACGGTCATTTATTTATTGGCTGGTATACAGTGGTCCTTAGGACCAAATTGTACCTTTCATACCTCGGGCAAAACAAATGGTTCAAAATCAACAAATCAAAGTTTTCTCGAACTTTGCAACACATTCAAGCTAACGGATTTCACATTTTAGGATTATAAATACTTATGACTTTTTGGTACGAAAGGTAAATAGCTTTATTATAGACAATCTTTTTTTTCTGATAAAATATATAATAATATAATTTATTTTTGATACAAAATAGTCATAATTAATCTTGACCTTTAGATATGAAATTAGGTGCCTGTATTTATTTTATTGACCAAGCCGAAAATCGAAATAAGCTTTCTCAAACTTTACCACACAACCAAGTTATCAGATTTCACATCATAAGAATATAAGTAATTCTGATTTCTTTTTACCATAGGTGTGATATTATTATAGAGCTATTGTGAGATTTTGTATGCCCAAATTGCTTTGCATACGATGATTCGAGATGAGGTATTACTTTGTTTTTAAAAAGCCTAGGCTTTTTAGAAGTTGCATCCTATTAAAAAAGCTCCTCTAATTTTTTATTTTTTTTAGACTCATACATATACTTTTTATTTTCCAAAATGTCCATTTTACAAAACCTTAAAGGTCTAAAGTGAAAGCAATTTCAAGCCAAGATCCAAAACCACTCTTTTTTTATAATGAACTTTAGATATTTCACTTCAAACTTTCGAGATCCGAGTGAATTAGTTGGAGTTCAGCCTTGAACCATACCTTGATCGTTTGAAGTGCTATATGGAGTTCCAAATAGCAAATTTGAACCTAGGTTCAAGCATTTTGGGATAATATAAAAAGAGGAAAATATGGGTGTATAAAAACAAATTTTAGTAGATTTTTTTTTTAATAATAGAAGTTAAAGGATCGACATAAATTTATCATTTTCTAACAATGGAAGGGGGGACCTCAAAATATCCAAAATATGTTATTTATTGCTCATCATCAACAATCAAGAAAATAATTCGAAGTCCTAATATTGCTCCATCTCAAAAACCATCTCTTGAATAGAACTTTGAGAAAGGTATTAGGATCGTAGTGGTAGCACCCCTACATCTTATTCAGCATGTTGTGGTTTCCATTATCACTGACACCACTCCACTAATATATTCAAAACTAATTCCTATACCATATGAAAAAAAATAGTAGGGGCCTGACTTCCCACTGAATTACCCAAAAAAAAAAAAATTCAATGTGAACTTTTTATTTAAGTAGGTGATAATTTATTAAAGCAAAACATTTATATAAGCATCAATCTTATGATATAGAAACAAGGTGGACCTCAAAACTCACTGGACAATGGTTGTTCTCACATAAAAAAACTCCCCAATTAATTATCTCGACCTCAAGTTTAGTGAAAAATAAACTTTTAAATATATGTAAATTTGTTTGATCCACACTATTATCAAGGCTTTAAATTTCATAATTAGATATAAAAACATATTTCTAACACATAAAAACTGTATCTTTCAACATCATTTAGAAGTGCACCTTGTTTCAGGCGCCAACATTATATTCTTCATGGTGTTGGCCCGTCTTTACTGAATGTTGTCAGCATTGAATACTTGACACCAATGGTTTAAAAAACGGATCGGTGACCCGGATCGGCCTTCCAAAAAACCGATTCGGATCGGCGAATCGGCGATCCGGATCGAGAATCGGGTGAATCGGTCAGAATAAAGCTTAAAAAAAAATTCAAAAAATTTATTAAAATTCATTATAAATATTGTTTTTTAGGAATTCAATAAAAAATGAGGGTACTCCATTAAGAATTTTCATGTTTTTGAATGAATATGCGAATATTGATATGTTCTTTCCCTGCATGAACCGCCATTCAGCATTTAATTTACAGTATTTCATGCTCATCCCTACACTGTTGCTGTTGGGACTCGATATGTGAATAATATGGCTGGGATAGGGTGGCCTCAGAATCATCATCTCTCTCATTTTCTCTTTGAATAATATGGATTAAAAAAAAATTAACAAATTTTAAAAAAAATCGATCATGGATTAAAAAAAAAATCACAAATTTTCAAAAAATTCTATCATGGATTACAAAAAAAAATTCGATCATGGATTAAAAAAAAAAATACACAAATTTTCAAAAAATTCAATCATGGATTACATAAAATTCGATCATGGATTACATAAAATTCGATCTTGGATTACAAAAAAAAACAAACAAAAAAAAACAAAAAATTCAATCGTGGATTACAAAAAAAGAAAAAAACAGTTTGATCATGGATTACAAAAAATTCAATCATGGATTACAAAAAACTCTATCATGGGTTACAAAAAAAGCAAAAAACAAAAAATTCAATCATGGATTACAAAAAAAAAAAACAAACATTT